GTATACTTGCAAACGCGAAATAAATTGCTGGACTGAACGCGAGAGATATAGCACGCTGTCAATAATGTTATTCCCATAAATGAATGGTCACTTACGCCGAGCGATTGTTTGCAGCGAATTAACGAGTGGAACACACGGTCATCGATGCAATTTTCTAAATGCTATAACTATAGTAACTTGCTAAAGTGATACTCGTGTTTGATGTTGCCCGCGATCCGCGATGAATTATAAACGCGGATACGCGCGCTCGCGGTTAACGAGCGTCGAAATAAATACACCGGTAATCGGTGTAAATTTCTCTGCACGCGCCTGGTTGACTGGATAGCGCGTTGCACTGGATACTCCGCGCGCGGCAATCATAAATGCAACCCTTTGCTCTTTGAGTGCTCGGGCCGTCAATACGATCATCAATATGCAACTCACTCACTGCAAACTGCCGCTGCGAACGCTCGGCGCGAGATTACGTTATACTCCTGATTATGGCGCCAGCGAACCATTTTCGAGATGGAAACCAATTGATTCGTCGGATACATCATATATGTATATGATGATCTAATGGCGCTTCCGCCATTAACCGAGCCGTACGGGCCGAAGATATATCAACCGTAAATCGAATGTAGGCCAGTCGCTTAGGGCCAAAAATGTATAGGATGTATTTATACTCGTTTATATTAGGATTTGTATTCGCATATATGTATACTAAATTCAGCATGACCTCTCTTTCGCTCTCTTTGGCAAAATACTTGGGATTGTTTTGCACGCTGAAATATCAACATTACACCGCCATAACTGCAACGGAAAATTTCGTTTTCCTTACGTAATAAACGCCCGGATGGATGAGCAACTTTGCATTCATCGGAGTCAAGTACACCGGCGGAACGTCTCAAAAGGAAGTTTTCGCTGCGCGTTCTAAGTAACTGCTTCCCTCTCAGAAGCGCCGTGAACAACAAGCATTATCGAAATTCCATACTCGACGGCGGGCCGTCCGTGGTACGTGGAATTAAAGCAAATTAACGAGCGTCCTTGACTGACAATTAAGGGCAATTGGCCTTAACGTTCGCGCATATACGGGTAATCCGTCGAGTAGACGGCGGAGACGGTAGATTAAGCAAACGTGTATGCGCGCGTCAGGATTGTAACGGGAAGCACGGCGTTTTCAGTGCGGGCGCGATAACGCCAAATTCGATTTGCAACTCGAATTCGAAACATCGTTAGCCGCCGCCGCCGCCGCCGCCGCCGCCACCACCGCCGCCGCTGCTGCTCATTGCGACGTAACTCGATTTGCCTTTCATCGCGTGTAACTGACGTATCGAGGTCGTCGATTCGAGTAGATTATTGCGTGACGTATTAATTTACGTTCGATTAGTCTTTCCGGACTGACAACGCGCGGTTTTTTAAACCCGCCCCTCCCCCTTCCGTTGTTGCGCGCCCGGTTATGAAATATTGATATTGTGTTGCGTGCGCTCTTCGAAATATTTCAATACTCGATGAGAAGGATTGGCTGAAAAAAAAGCGCAACGACGGGTTGATCAAATAATTTCCTAAATGTGCAGTCAGATGTAAAAAAAGTACCTACGTTTAGAAATCGAGATTAGATTAGTATTTTGAGATTATAGGTATCTAATAATTGCGAGAGCTATTTTTAGCGTATTAATAGGAATTGCCGTCTGAATAATTGATTTGAGATCCACATATAAATTTAGCGCGAGTACACTTCGATTGGTTTCATTCACTTCCCACAGTGGCACTTGCAGAATACGAGATTTCTTTTTTTTTATCATTTTTTAGATTTTCTTTATCGCGTTGAGCTGTGCCGTGTGGAGAAAACACATCAACCGAAAGATCATCAATCGCTAGATAAACTAACTGTATACAACATTATCTCAATATGACGATAAGTTAACGCTGTCTTTCCCTTATCAGAAATTATTGTTAATATTATATATTCAGTTTGATGTCATCTCATCAAATTTTCTCAGTCATGACAATGTTCGTGTGTCAATAATTAATTCCTAAAAAAATTAACCAACACATTAAATACTTTGTTAAAAAAAAAAGTGCTAAAAGGCGTCTGGCTTAACATTTACTTTCGCTATGAAGAAATGCGGGAGAGGGAGAAAGGGAGTTAGGTTAAAAATGGCGACAGCGAATTGCGATTTCGACTTTTTTCCGTAGGAATAACGAATGTCGCGAGAATAAGCTCGAAAAAAATTTAATGCATTTTGTATGTAAAAAATTAAAAACAACGGTGCGTCGAGTCGGTGGCGGAAAGCGCGACGTGCAGCAGGGTCGTAAAACACCTGAGCGGAAAAAAACAAGGTAAAAGGGAAATAAAAATTAAGCGCGACGCGCTTTATTATCGTCGCGCGAAAGTTCAGCCGTATTATCAGAAACGACGATCCGCCGTTTGCTTGTGACAAGTTGCGCCGCGGCGGGAGACGAGTCCCGGTCCGTAAAACGCGCGACGAGCTGGATTCCGCCGCGAGGCAGCGGCGCGTTTAAATCTCGATAGGAAATTTCTGGCGTGGAGACACACCCGTCCATCACGCGAAATCATAAATAATCGATGAACGAGCGCGCACAACGGTCAGAAATACTTCGATTCGGCACTTTTTTCCCTCCGCGCCACCGATTCTATTTCCGACCGCGACTACGATACGCGCAACACGCGAATTTTTTTTCCCGCACGCGGGAATGCCGGTTAATTAAATTAGCACGGGATGAGAGCTCGATGCGCTGTATTTTGTCGTTTTACAAACGTATTGAAGCTGCGGAACAGATATAAACGCTATCACACGAATCCGCGTAACTAATGTGTGGTTCCGAAAATTCTTTTTTATAAGCTACGGTTGAATGGAGGGGACGAAACTTGAAAACGAGAAGATTGCAAAAAGACGAATTTACAAATTAAAAAAATAAAATTCAATTTAATTTTATGTGAAATAATTAATTAACGCGCGAAATGCGAAATATTGAAATTGTTTTTTTCATTCACTGATTAAATGGAAAGATGACAAAACGTTTAATGTATTTTTGAGATATGAAACTTTAACTTTTCGTATATTCATATTTTGCGCGTATTTCAGGATATTTTTTTACTCTAATCGAATAGAATAAATCTTTGCAGTTTTCATATACAATATTTGACCTAAATTCAAATTGACTTTTCTACAAAAATAAAAAAATATTAGAACGTTTCGCAGGTTTCGTTGTTGTTTGTCTTTTTTAAATTTAAATTATACAAAGAGCGTACTTAATATCGCAGACAGATAAAAGAAGAATAGCCATTCTCGACGTACCGTATTGCGCGCTGTTATATTAAAGAGACTTTCAACGATATTCCGTAACGAAGCAAATCTCGCTAAGTACCGAAATCAATGCTCCTTTGCATTTCGATTATAAACCGCTGCAAGTATACAATGTCGGAAATTACTACCGCGAGCAGCTAAGCACCGGAGAATAGCAGCCGGTTGCTTTGTAATTAGGCGAACACGAGAAGATTTGAATTGTAGACTCCGCTTCCGCTTATCAGACGCGTCAGGGACGGTATAATACGATAGAGAACATGGCATTTATCAAAAGCGATGGAACAGCGCATTGAATATATTTTACGCTAGAAATGCTCAATGATTTTGTACTTGTAATTAAATCTACTCGCAAAATCGTGGACGTAAGAAATAATAGCTCGAGAAAAACGTAGATACTTCATGAGGAGCCTAATTTTCCTTCTTTTCCCATTTAATGGAAATTAACTTATCGTTTCGTCGAAAATTTTCAAGGTAAAATATACGATACGAAAATGATTTTTTTATTACATCGCACGTAAGAGGTATCCTCTTATTACAATGGCTAGCCATTAAATCAGTGAAGTTCACAGACTCTCGCGAGGGGGACGACGAAAGTTTCGCGGCTAATGACGCGGTACTTTTAAAACGACCGGACTTAGCGCGCCCATGAGGTATTGGTATAAAATTTAGTCGCTCGTATATTCCGCGAGGAAACTTTCGCGGAACATAAATACCCCTGTGCCAGGGGGGGAGGGGGAGGTACGCCAAAGATAATCTCGGGGATAAAAGAAATCACCCCGACGCCTGATTCTCGATCCGCTTTTGCTCCTAACTTTATAAATCACAGTTGTACGACTAACAAAAAGCTTTCTGAGCCCGGCTTTTGTTTAATTTCACAAAGAGACGCGAAAAGGACTCATTTGTTTCATTATTAGCGCTATCGCGACTTCTTGATAACGTTATAATTTTCACTTACACTTCGTAATGCGATTTTCACAAATAAAATTTTATATATGCGAGCATATATAAAGTTTTTAAGAATCGATCTAACAAAATCTCGCATTTTAGTGAAAATAGACTTAATTGTTTCTCTTTGTATGCCAAACAAAAAATATCCTGAGGCAAAAAAAAAATCCTTTTCCTATATCTTTGTACGAGTACGAGCGTATAAAAAAAAAACGCAATCAATTTCTACTACTCTACATATCTGCCTCAGAAGTTTTCGCCTTTCTGAAAGTAAAATCATGACACGAGAGAGACACAAATGAAATTTTACACATGCACGCATATAAAATTTAAGAATAAATCTAATAAAAACTCGCATTTTAGTGGAAACAGACTTAATTGTTTTTCTCTTTCTTTGTACGCCAAACAAAAAATATCCTTTTCCTATCTTTAATGTACTACGAGCGTATAAAAAAAAACGCAATTAATTTCTAGTATTTTACATATCTGCCTGAGAAGTTTTCGCTTTTCTGAAAGTAAAATCGTGACACGAGAGAAACACCGTAAAACACCGGTGACTTAAGTGTGCACGGCGCGCGCGAGAGAAAAGGAAATACTTCGGAACAAGTAGCACGTACGCTGCTCGAGAGGAAAACGAGCGAGGCTGAAAATACCATGGAAATTGCCTCGGACACGGTCGCTTTCCGTAATAAAGGTAAGCGGGGATAAGCGGAGAGGAGAGAAGAGCGTGAACCTATATACACTCACCTGAAAGTCGAACTTGCCGAACTCCTGCTGGGCGTCGATGTCGGCGTTTCGCGGCAGGATCGCGGGACAGGTGGCGAGCGACACCTGAGCATCTGGCGACTCGCTGTAATCCGGGGTGACGGAGGTCAGGCCGCTGCGGTCGTATCTGAGCTCCTCGTTCAGGATCGCGGCGGCGGCGGCGGGATGGCCCGCCGACGACGGCGCCTGTACCTGGCTGACGTAGTACAGGCACAGCAGGAGCGACAGCACCACGACGCAGAGGACGAAGACGCGGCCGGAGCCGCGGCGCAGTATTTTGTACATGATGATTCGTTCGGCGCGACTCGCGTTGCTCGTAGACACCACGGTAGATCACGGTGATTCATCTAGAGGTCGAGCGGCGGCGGGCGACGCGCGCGGGATCGGTGCCGAGTCAGCGGCGACGATCGGCGAACGATCTTCGGCCCCGGCTCCGTCGCTCGTCGGCTTCATGGAACGTCGCGGCGGAAGGATGGCCTGAAGCAAAAGAAACAAAAGAGAAACGAATTTTAGTGAAATAAAATTATTAGTTTAGAAATCATTTCTTCAAGTTAAATTTAAAATTATCAGTTTAGAGATAAAACTGTCCGGTTGAATGCAACCTTTGGCCAACAATTATTATCCTAATTTCGAATAATTATTTAAATTTTGTGTGAAACTGGTTGATGGTACTGCTGATATATTTTCTATTGATAATTCCGATCGAACATGTAAATTCATAAGCTTACAACAATGATATCGTAGAACAAGGCTTCGTGTCGAAACACGCGAACGCGATGAATCGAAATCACATTCTGTGCAGGAGGTATGCTACGATATATATCATAAATGATAATTAATTATAATATAATACACACACACACACACACACACACACACACACACACACACACACACACACACACACACACACACACACACACACACACACATATACACACACAAATATGTATAGATATATATACACCGCGCTATTTACCGTTGACTGATCGAAAATACAGACGTTTTAATCTCGTCGAGATGAGAGTACAAGAGAGATTTGCATTCGAATTAATTAATTTCAATTAATTCAATTATTCGATACGAGGAATATGGACGCGACATAATACCTTGTGTTTAGCAATCGTTGCAAAATTATTACGCGGGGGAATTAGAAACTGTCATTGACTTTGTCATTTACACCACGGCTGGGATGTACACGAAGACCGCGACCGGTGAATCGAATTTAGAAGATTCCTTGTCTCGCCGCTGACATTTAAACGTCGTACACGCGAGCGTAACGACATGGCGGCCCAGTTATCACGTATTCAGACTGACGGGATACGGAATTATGAGACTCGATGCACACACACATGCACACACACGCTTTGTACGAAGTAATAATCTGCGCACCTGTGTTTTTCCACGCGAAATATGTATCCTTACTCACGAATAGCCAAGGTCGGTCGAAACGCGATCGATCAACTCTTTGCTAGCAATTTTCTTCTCTATACTTTTCTACATCATTTGCGACAAATGGTCATCTATCTTCATGATAAAGAGCCGCCTCGCACACTTTTACACAGTCCCGCAAGTGGAAAGAACGCACGGCACGCATATCGGATCAACGGTAAATGTGTTTAGGAATATCAACTTTATAAAACTGCCTGTAAATAATGAATAAATTGACAATCAATGAATAGGACTAATTAGGACAGTCTGTTATTGATACGAACGGAAATATATCGTTCATACATGTATATACATGTATGAACGATTCCATAAAAAAAAAAAGATGAGTTAAAAATGCAGGACAGGAATTTTTTGCATCACGGATGGAATCATCGCTTTTCCGATTATACCGCAAATAATGGACCGGGCTGTATTTCATCGCGAGATAGAGTTAATCGATGGCTTTCATAAACATCGATGGATCACTCGATGAATTGCAAATCGAGATTGTATTCCCGTGGATACCGATGAGCATTTCCCAAAATCGGGATAGCAATACAGGGAGGACGAGAAAGAGGAAGGGGGAGAGAGAACGAGTTTACTGTGCATTCGCGCGCCGCGATTTAATTCGGTCGTCGTACGATAAGCCTCGTGAACCAGAGACACAGTGTAGCTGTTCGTCGGAAGGCCTTCCGTCTGGCTGGCCGGCCTCGCAAAACGCCTCCATCACGATATGTAAGGTCGCTTCTCTCACGCGATAATCGATCGCGTATATCGCGTATACCTAACTCCGCGCTCGATGCTTGACACGCGGAGAGAGGAGGCCGTAGGCAGAGAGGCGAAAAAGCGAGATAGATAGATAAAGCGTATAGATAGATAGATAGAGAGAGAGAGAGAGAGAGAGAGAGAGAGAGAGAGAGAGAGAGAGCTAGGGAGCGGGACGAAGAGGGTGAAGAGTTAGCTAAAAGGGATGCGAGATTAGAGTTTAATTCGGTATTAACTCGACGCGTACGAGACAGACGATGTACACGCACGAGGAGGGGGAGGGGGGCGGAGGGGAGGTAGAGGAGAACGCGATAGAAACTGCTCGTTCGAAAGTTCACGAAGAGATTAAACCAGCTAGCCACGTCAACATTATCGAAGCACGCCGTATATGAGGGAGTAACGAAACGGGGTCCGTACAGGAAAATGGACCAGTGTTCGCGGGAAGCGATGGAAATCCGGGAATAAATCTGCAGTTAATTAAGCCGACTGACGAAATAATAAAGCAAGCCGGTACATTGGGAGATAATTCGTATGGTAAATCGCCGTTACTTTTAATTCTGTTACAACAATTGTGACTGAAGGGTAGCGATTGTTGATTGTTATCGTTTGAAAAATTAACGCCTTTTTTTAAATTGAATTGTGCCGCCACCACATAGGCAGCAACACCATTCAATTAGTTCCCCCTTATCGCAAAAAGAGATCCCACAAAGCGTTAGCAGCTTTATTTTTCTAAGCACGTTCGCATTTCTACATTTATTGCGACGAGAAAAATATCGTATTATTATTCCTTTCGCTCTACGGCGAAAAGTGGAATATTGTCGTACTGTATTTGTCTATACAACAACAAATAAAGCAGGGTCATTCACATATCAATAAATTAAAATTAATTAGTTGTTCCCGTGACCAACAAAATTATAAAACAAACACTAAATATATAGATGATGTGTGCGCGCTACATCCCGCCAAATTAATAAACGTTTCTAAATGTTTGCAGAGCCGCAAAGCGATGGAATCGATGGAAGCCGATTTACATTCGCGCGCACATCATTGTTGGAAACAATCCATATTACTATAAATCCAATTACCCGATATGAATACCATAAATTCGATATCCCTCCCGCCGCAATCTCTCGGTGCACCGTCGAAGTAATAATTAATATACGAGCGGCAAGTGGAGCTATCAACTTTCGAATACGGAGAGGGGGGGGGAGGAAGCTTACGCGAGGGAGTCGCGAGCGGATTCTCTGCTCGCTCATCATCGTGGTCTCTCCCGTTCCGCGATGAAGGTCCAGAAGTTCTCCACGACGAGCTTCAATTTTCTCCCCGAGGACCCTAATAAAAACGCAAGGAGATTGAGGAGACAAACGAGAGGGACACGGGAGACGGCTGGATGCTCGTCAGGTGCCGTTCCTCCGGTCGTTCCCCGAGCCCGACACTCGCCGAACGTAATCCCTTTGTCCGTCCACAACGAGGACGATGAAACGTGTCGAGGATGCGTTATCGAGACTGTCGCTCGATGTGCTCGCTGATCGAATGGCGCATTGAGAAGAGTGTATAATAAAGAAGAAAAAAAAATGTGGAGGAATCAAGATTCAGCCGATGTTCCATTTCCTTATTGCGACCGCGTTTTACATCGCGCGAAACACATTTCTTTCGTGATGTACGAGAGCAATTCGAGCGCCGATTTCCAATGTTCATTATGATTTCTGGTCATATTTTTCATCGTGTATTATAAAAAATTTCCACGCGGTTTTAATAAGTAATTCCACGCGAACGGCCGCGTAGGTATTCTTGGCGCGAGTCCTATCGGGTTAATGAGGTTGCCGTTACATCGGCTTGGAGAACGGGCTATTGGCCAAACTCTAATTTAAGTATTTCTAGAGAGAGGCCTCTCGTATACGAAATCGCTCGGACAAAATTCTCCTCTCTGTCTCCCGGTAATTCTAAGTTGATTACTAAGCTCGAGTTCGGCCGCGCTCGAAAATTCGCGCCGTCGACTACCGCCGACGACTATCGACCCGACTGAGCTGACAATGAGATACTATTGGTTTCTGGGCTATTCCGTCGCGGAACAAGAGTCCTGCAACGAACGGCTGCCGGATTGCGGTGCAACGGTGTCGATACGCGAATTTGCGCGATTGGATTGCAAGTTGCAAGTGCGAAGGCACGGCGTTGAAAGAGAAATGTGTGTAGGTAAACCTGAGCGTTATTGTATGGGAAAAACAAATGGTAATTTAAATAAGCTATTTATAAAATAAAATAAAGCTCTTGTTAGTTTAATGTAAAGCTGTTAAAACGTTTATAAAGCGATAATAATATATTATCGCTTTACAAATATTATAATATTGATTATTATTATATGTAATCTGACGTCTGGAAAAATATTTATACACCAAGTATCATAAATCGATGACTGAAAAAAGAAATCTATAATTTTTAATAATTAAATTTTTGTTTTATTATTTTAAAAAAGAAATTTTAAAGGGCAGATTTCTTTTTTCAAGAACTATTAACAAAAATCAAATATACAGGTATATCTTTAAAACGTGATGTCTCTTTCTTATCGAACTTAAACACGCAAGATATTAAAATATATAGAATTTTGAAAATTATTACATACTACTTATTGTTAAATTAATCGATGGTTTAAAGATGTGCTTGAAATTTATCTTTATTATTTTGAAGGAAAAAGGATATGTTTCAAACTACTAAAGAGGATGCTAAAAACTGCGAGCGAACGCGCTTAAGGCCAATGAAATTAATCGCGTATAGCGATAAAAGTTTATAACCGCGCGTTCAGGTTAATCTTCGCCCCGGTTGTCACGAGACGCCACAAAATGTTATCGCGGCGCGCTCCTTTCGCCAAGAGCCACACGGAGACGAATTGAGAAAGGGGCTTTAAATTAAAGCCCGTCTACGTGAGACGATATACGCGGCGAGTTGAAAAAGTCGTCGGTCAAACGTGCTCGTCTCGCGAAGACTTCGCGAGCTTCCTTCCAGCGCGACCGAGGGAAGGAAGATACGTGGCTGGGCGAAGGGTGTAAGAAAGAAAGGGTGCTTTTTGTACGATGCATCGTGCCGTGGGGAAACTTTGGTGAACGCTCGCGGCGATCGCGAGTCGGGATAAAGTCGATTTTTTGAGCATAAGCGCGAAAAGCGGCGAGGCAATCGAAGCTCGCGACGAAAGAAACGAAATCCCTCTCGTTTCTATCTCATTTTGTCTCCCCTTCATTC